TCTCATTAATCAAACACAAACGCAAGCCTAGCAAAGACGCTAGTTGCTGAGCTGGAAAATGCTAAAATTCATTTATTGAGACAGCAGGGAAGCAGATCCCTGCAAGCGCCCCGGGGCGACCGCGGTGGTGACCGCACGTGCACAGGACGATTTGTACCAGTGCAGCCGGGCTGAGCTCGGCCCTTCGKCGGCGATCCCCGGCCGTGCTCCGCGGCGGCTCCGCTCCGTCCCATCCCTGCCCTGCGCCCCCCCAACCCACGGTATGAACCCATTAAGCCCCTGTGACCAAACGTTTCCAGCGCACCGGGGAGGAAGCGGCTCCTCGGTGTCAGCGTGATGGATGCCATGGCAGGAGCAGCCGTGTTCATAGCAGCAGCTCCGCGCTCACTTCTCTGTTCCTGCCTCTAATGTGAAGGCAGAAGAAATGCAGGTTGCTCCTGCAGGCGAGTCTGGGGCTTTCACCGTGGCCCAGAGCTCCACGGGCCGCAGGGTCTGGGCTCCGCGTCAGCATCGCACCATGATCCTGCAAATCCGTGGCCCAAATCACCTCCCCGCAGTGGAGGCTCTCTGCTAATTCTCATGGATCCCCCGTGTTTGGTGTCCTTGGTATCCTGTCATGCACTGCTAGCTTCAGTYCACAAGCTACAGTGCAATATACTCATGAGTAATAGCATCTTATTGGAGTGTAAAGATCTTCCTATTTCACTTATTTATCCTGCATTTAAACTAATTCAAAATTCACTTACTCTAAAAAGTACTGGAAGCAAAACGCTCTKTGTAAATAGCCTGGCTTTTTCTAAACTGGTATCTCTGAAAGGGAAGATGGAACAACTCCCGCTGCCTATTTTCTCTTGGAGGTGGCATCGCTGTGTTATTTTGACTGTTTTCCATGACGAGGCCTGGAGCTGGCTCCTGCGGAGCAAGAGACTGGCGGGCGGGCAAGGACTGTTTGACCTTTCGGCCCAGTTCTTCAGAAACTGCTCTGATTAATCTGAATCTCACTTAAGCAGCTAGTTAGGCGCTTGCTTTGCTCTCAGTGGCACGATGCATTTCTGAATTGCAAAATGACAAATATCCAGCTCCAATTCCCTTTCATTTGTATTGTGAAGGGTTTGGGGGGGAATTTTTCAGGAAATATTTTTCAAATATTTTAGATGCTTTTCCAAGTTTATCAGCTGCTGCTTAGCACATCATGGGAGGAAACCACAGTGCAGCCGTGGTTGCTCCTTCCCGTCCTGCGGAAGGGGCTGGGATGCCCACGGCYGCGGTGGCTCCGGGACGGCCGCGGTGCAGCAATGCTGCCTGCGTTGCCATTGCTGCTGCGGGCTCGGGCATCATGTGTGGCAGCACAGGGTCACCAGCGCAGGCCCTTTCAGTCCCAGCTCGCACCAAATCCCACAAGGAGGGAGGCCCTCGAGGACCCCCCTCATGGGGGCATGGGCACTTCTAAAGAACAAACTGGTGCAGGAGCCGGGTGCCTTGTTAGCTGCAGAGTGATAAATGAGGCAGCGTGGGGAAGAGCTGCGGAAATGATGAGGGAGGTGGAGGATCCATCTAATGAGCTGTGATTAAATTACTGAAATTACCAGCCCTCTGCTGAGCAGGGAGTGCTCAGGACCCGTGGGCCCTTCCCTGAGGAGGAGGGACCCCAATGCTGTGCGGCCCCAGCATGGAGCAGCGGCGGGAAGGGCCCCTGCTCTGCCCACACTGGGGGAGATGATCCCATTTAGCAAGGGAAAAAAAACTGCCGGCCTCAGGAGCCCTGGCACGGCCCTTGGCTGCGGAAAGTGTGAATGATGCACTGATAAAACAGGATCTGCTTCCTGAGCACCTTGCCCGGAGATGCCCTTCCTGCACCTTTTGTTAATTTTAGGCAACAAAGACAGATGTAGTTTCTTCAGATCTGCAGTTCACCGAAGTCACTACTAAAAGCCGTCAGAACAGCGTGTATTCTAAAGCCGAAACTGTTTCCTTGCACAGGCAAATGCTTTGACATTGTGGAATGCCACTGCAAAATATCTTGAGTGCAGAGCCTTAGATTAGTTTAAATGACATTGCGTTTTTGCTGTTTGCTTTCTATCGGTATACATTTACAATCCCCATTCACTCCCTGAAGGAGGTAGGGCACCGTGTGAATTAATCTACCTCTCTTCAAGGTGTTTTACTGCTTCTTATGACAAGTAGATAATGAAGAAGAATTATAAGAGGTTAACCTACAAAGCTTTCTGGAAAATATTTTTCTAGGAATGAGTATACTAAAGAACAATTGTGCACAAGTCAGGAAATGAAGGTGAGAATGCCAAGAAGCTGCTTTTCAGCAGAAGCAGCACTTGAGAAGGCGGCAGGCAGGGATTCCCAGTGCTGGCCAAGGATGTGCCCCGGGCCCCGCTCCCTCCAGCGGGATCGTTTCCTTGAAACAGTGTGGGCAGCTCTGGGAAACACCGCAGCCCTGCGAGGCCCGTGTGGCCATCGTGTCCCAGTTCCTCACAGCCCATTTCAGACTCCACCTCGAAGCTSTTTGCTTTGCCCCCAGTAGTCCTCTCAGGACACTGGTCCAGAGCAGCATTTCTCCCGTGGTTAGAAACCATCTAATTTCCAGCCTAAACATATATGTGCCAATTCATACCCATTTGTTTTTGTGCCAGTGCCGTCTGTTTTCCGAGGCCATTTTCCTCCTTCCTTGGTGCTCATCTGCTGATGCATTTTGAGAGCAGCCATATGATCCCCAGGCCTCCTCCGATTCAGCTAAACGTGCCCTGTGTCCTCAGGTGGGCTCTTCGCCCAGAGATCATTCCCAGGACCTGTAAATCATTCCAGATTGGCCTTCTTGGAGCAGGATGCCGAGGAAGGGACCCAGCATGTTGTGTCTGAGCAGCTCTGTCCCTTCTCCTGTCTTCGCTCCCCGACTCGGGCTGCAGCCCCGCATGGCCCTGGAGCAGCAACAGTCTCGTTGCTGCAGGAGGCTGCAGTGGCGCCTTGGAAAGGGCTCTTCACTCTGGTGTGGGGAAAAATGCTGTAATTGGAGCCTTGCCTTTAGCGCAAGATGCATCAGGCTCTACTGGGGCCAGGCTGGGTTCCCAGCTGCCTGTGTGACCTGGTCCAGGAACGCAGYGTGGATTCCAGTGGTGCTGGAGGCGCAGGGACGTTCCAGCGGCTGGGACGGGCACTGGTCATGCTGGGTAACTGGAGGAAGGAGCTGCATTGGAGGGGAGGCTGCTGCACGGCTGCTCGTGACTGAGTCCCTCCTCTGCCCTCCAGAGCAGCTGGCCTCCAAACCTGCCAAAATTAGGAGGGCAAAGTAGATGGACCACTGCTCTAATCCATGCTGGCAATTCCCATGTTGAGCTGACAGTACCAGCTGGCCTCTCTGGACTGGACACTTGCTGAATGTTTGGGAAACACTCGTTTCGTTAATTAGTATGGATTGGAAGGGGCAGGTATGCAGTGTAAATACCCAAGCCCTTAAAAGCAGAGCTGTCAAATAAAGTGTTACACTCCATCAGCTCCGATTGCATCCAGTCACTGCACACCACCAGGCGCTTGGATAGCGCTCAGATCTGCTCATGGATGCATTTGACATCCATACAGGAAAAACACACAGTCTAGGATGAATAAAGAGTCAGAGCYGGGCAGCAGTCATTTAAGGCTAAACCGCTTGTTTTAAAAGCTTTACAATCTAGCTGTAAAATTTCCTCTGGGCTGGAAGCYGGTGCCCAAGAAGAAATGTCCTCGCTGTTATGTGTGGTTTGCTGCAAATCCCATTAGTCTTCTGTGCAGCACATCACAGGAGACRAGTGTCATCACGGGGCGTTGTGGTGCGCTCGGTGCCTTGGATGTGCGCTCCATTTAAAAAAGCACAAGCACTGCGACTCTTCCTTCGGGGGTGTCTGCTGGGGGGCTTAGCTCACCCTGTGGGAATCTCAAACCAATTTTGGTGGGTTGGGGGCCAGGGGGCTCACTATTTCCCAGGTGAAAACACCTCATCCCCTGGCCTGCTGACTGCACTGCCTTGGGAATGTGTCCCATAAACCTGGCCCAGGAGAAGGCCTCARGTCTGCAGGGCCAGTGGCACCGGTGCGGGCAAGCTCAGGGGCAGCCGCCTGCCCCACTCCACAGGACATTCCTGTCTTCTCCAAGCTGAAATAAATGTGTTTCAATGAAGAGGTTCGTCTCTGTAATTATGCACTGGAGATACATATATACATATTGTAACAGGTGAAATGTGTGCTGAGGACAGGGATGCGAGCTACGTGGAGCGGGTGAGTGCACCCGTGCTGGCCAAGGCTTCAGGAGAGCCTGTGCCAGGCTGCACCATGTGCTCCCCTCCATCCCCCAAAGCGACCCAGCCTGCACCCATGGAGACTCTCATTTCAGGTCCCAACTCAAGCGCTAAATTCGCTGCTCGTCCTGCTGCAGCCCTGGGCTCCTGCGTGGGCTCCCCGGGGCTGGAGCTGTCCCCAGCCCCGCACCCTGGGCCCCGGCGCGGCTGCTTTCAGCACCAGCTGCGAGCAGGAGACCAGACGCTTCCCCGTCAGCTCAGGTTAGCCCCTGACGTCCCCATTACTGTAATGCAGCTGAAAAGGAATCCAGCAGTTACAGGAAATGATTTACGGGACACAAGACGCTGCATTTCAGAAGTCTCCTGAGTATCATAAAAAATATATTATAACGGAGTAATCTGGCTCAGAATGAGAGCCGCACAAAGAGAACACACGTCCAGCTGAGAGCAGCATTGAGCTTTTGTTCATTATGGGAGAAGTCTGTGCTCTTCAGCTTATTTGATGAATATTTTTTTTTCCCTCAGCATTGGRTATCTAGTTAATATTTGCACTCCATATTTTTTCAGATGCTGCCTTTGCCATGAGACGGGTGCAGCCAGGGCTCCAACACGTTGCTTTGCGCTGCTCCCTGCTGTGCATCACCTGTTAGCAGCGAGCTTGGGCAGTCCCTGGATCTCCCTTGGAATGCGAACCAAGGCTCCCAGACCAGGGCACCTCCTCATGGTGCACAGTGAGCTCCACGGCCTCGCAGAGCAGAGGCTGGAGGAGACCGGGTGCTCCCTGCGGAGCGCTCTGGCAGGGTACGGTGCCAGGCAGTAGCTCTCAGGCTAAAYTGAAGCTTCTGTGCACCTTAGGCAGGTGGTGGCATGTGGGGACACCTCTGAGACCTTGCTGAAACCAAAGCTGAGAGCTGGAGGTGGGAAGTGCCAGCAGAGGAGTGGAGAAGCACCACAGTGGGGGCTGTGGGGAGGGAGGACCTGAGCCCCAGCTGCTCCCCAGGGCTCCGGGAGAGCCACAGGTTGGGATCTGTGCAGCACCTGTGTCCGCAGCGTTGGGAGCCTGCGCCTAGCCTGGCCCCACTGCTGGTGCAGCTGCTGGCTCCCAGTGACACCCCAGCACTGGCTGCCCCTGCCCAGCCCCAGCTGTGGTCCCCACTGGAGGTGCCAAGGGCACCTCAAGCTGTCCCTGCCTCCTACCCGGGGCGCACCAGGCTGGGCCGAGCGCTCGCAGGAGGAGGTGCTGCCCTGGGGAGCAGAGGGCCCAGGGAGTCACCCCAGCGGGGCCTGGCGTCCTGGGGTGAGCCTGGGAATGTCCCAGGGGGAACCTGGGGATGTCCCCTGCAGTGTCCCTGGCGGGCGGGAATGTCCCCGGTGGAGCTCGGACTGTCCCCGGGGGGGAAGGAGGACGCGTCCCCG